GGGGATATTTCCAAAACTAGAGGCATTCTAAAGCTTTTATTACTACATTTCCGTCCTATGGGGTTACGAGATTAGAGATGAGAATTCTGATACTGTAACAGACAATCGTCCGCAATTTCGGTTTCATAGATTCCGTTTTTGAAGAACCGCCAATTATCAAAAATATAGATTAAATATTGGAAATCGAATAATCCGACTGTCATGTTAGCACTGTTTCGATTGCCCAGCATTTAAGCATTGCACAAAAAATCGTTAGGAATCATATAAATAAGGAAAGAAACAGATACTCTGCGAATCGCTGCTGAATTACAATAAAAATCGATCCATTTTTGAAATGGATGTATTAAATGCACCCACCTTTCAATACCAGTAACCATTCCTATGACAAATCGAATTGCGGTGAAACGACGCAAACGATGACCGATCCAGAATTAACTGGCAGAAAGAATTTGCTAAGTGTGTGTGAGCACCTTTCCTACGAAAAAACTCTAAATACGGACCTGTACTGTCAACAGTTGGACCGCCCGAAGGTAGAAATCGCCCAGAAGTGGCCAGCCTTTTAAAATGGGTGTGGAAGTATTTTTCATTTTTTTTAATATACCTAATATTTCAAGAACTATAGATGCTTTTTCACATAATTTTTCGAACTATTTTAAATTTTTTGAAAAAGTTATTTTAAAAAACTTAAGCATGAATTATTATTTAAAGCAATAATGCAATCTCTGAAGAAATTATATAGATTGGATGACTATAGCATATAGCTGTCATATTAACTGAACGATCGGAATCAAGTGCTTGTATGGAAAACTTTTTATATAACGAGGTATCTACACGAAATTAGGCACGAGTTATTGTTGAAGACGCCAATGTATTCTCCGAAGAAATTGTTCAGAACAGATCACTAAATTATATAGCTGCCATACAAATTGAACAATCGAAATTAAGTTCCTTTAAATACCCTTTGTATTTGTGAAGAGTATTTTAGCTTCGGTGCAAACGAAGTTAAGGTTTTTTCTTGTTTTTTATTCTCTTTGTGTACTAAAAGTAATGCCATCCTTATAATTTTATTTCGTATTTAATATTAATTCAACAATGGTATTTCTACAACCGCATCATCTAAATGTATATTAATATATTCATGCAACGTCCGTGACCAAACCCATCATTATGATAAAAATGGCATTCATAGATCTACCCATAATGTGCTTAGAAACAAACAACCACATACACATAACACGCTACTGTGAGTACTTCTCGTTTCACCTTTAATTATGTATTCTCAACATGTATATATCTATATATATACAAATAATGATATCTGCCGTTTGATGTTTACAAACAAATTCATATTAACGATTCCACATTCATGTCCTTTGATTGCTTCCTGTCTACCTTCGGCTACGTGTGTTTCATGTGAAGCGAACATTAGAAATCAGTTTAACCTTCACAACTGATCTGATAAGAAACATATGTATGTTTGCTTCGCGCCATTTATTTGTATACACAGCTTTTTATTTCAAATTTATAATAAGTTTTAATTTTTGTTTATTTACATTATTTTCAGTTCTCTTGTACGCACGTGTGTATGTGTGATTTCCCATTAAATATGGTAATTTGTGTCATTCGTCTGGTGTCCTTGATTTTGATGTCATATTTCAAAATGAATGCCTGCATATCTATTGTTATTATGAAGGCGTATACGAACTATGGTGCTGACAGGAAAAAAGGAATATATTTGGAATAAATTTTTAATGAATACCCGTGTACTTGATGGCTCCGACAAAAACGAATATTGCTAGGTATCCAAAGGGTTCAAAAAGGTTGCAATTATTTCGGTTTCTCTACAGTAGCGTCGCAGAGCGACATGACTACTTTTAGCCTGATAGCTTGAGTGCTATTAGTGCTGACAAAGTTGCCCTCGGATTCGCTTAATAATAGACTCCTGCCGTGTAACCTTAGTACTCAGTCATGTCATCATATCCTTTGAGAATTGTCAAATTTATTTAATAAATTTATTTTTCATATGAATTTTTTATACTATAAGCATTTTAGACTCGGTATCTAAAGATCTTCGAGAGTAACACGTCACATATCTCAAAGAGCAGAAGTGTCGCCGTGAAAGTGGAAAAGAGGGAGATAAACAGAAAAATGTACAAATGGCCAAATTGCAAGTACAGTTCGCTTAACACGCTTGCTAACTAATACTGACCACTTACAGCTTCAGATCTTTAAAACATGAGCTGGTCCGAATCAATCCTGACATAACCATGAAAAATTCTATTATCAGGAATCCACATTATTTTGAACTTGGGACGCCAGAATTTAAATAGCTTTACTGAAAATGAGAACATTTTTCACATCCGAACAAATAAAACGTTGCTTTTGAAATTGATTATAAATTGGTATTAAAAATGTGTAAAATTATTGCAGAATCCAGGAAGCAATATAACGGTATTTTTTAACGCGATTGAATGTCATTAAGGAGACTGTCCCCACAACATTCGGGTATTCGTAACCGGAACTGAACTGGAATCTGCCGAAGGAATTTAGTATTGTTTTTAATCCGACAGAGAAAATACAATTTTAAAACTTTTTCGCACTCAATAAAAAACATTGTAAAAATTTCAAAAAAAAACCAAAAATATTGAACAAAAGAATAACATAACCATTACCAACCGGAACAACAAGAGCTTCTAGGTCATTTCAAAACCAATCGAATACACCAGGAATTTGTAAAGCTTCAAATTATTAGCCAAAACTCTCGAGGCAGTATGCGCCTTCAAATATATATATTTTTGGTATGAAAAGAACTGAATATACAAAAAAGACAACAATAATACAATCATAAAGTTGGCAGTTGTTTAGATTATAGCCAGAAGGCTACGAGAATTTCCTAAACTGTTGTTAAGTTAGCGAGCGCAAGCTGGCTGCCTAACTGTACCAGCAAATAAAAATTTCAGAGGGCACAATCGCCGCTATTTGGTCTGGCACCGAATTACTGGTTGCCGATGGCTGGAAGCTATATGGCGGCATTGGCGCACCAACTTGTCCGGCATGCCATAATCTACGCCAACAAGCAGGAACCCCCGCCCCATTCAGGAACACCAAATGACTCCCCTGATAATTTGCATTGGACACGCAGATATTAATTTCGCCTTTGCCCCTAACATAGGCATTTGCTTTTATTTATATTTACTGTTATTTCGCCGATGTTTGTTGGTTTGTGTGTGTGCGTGTGCTTAAGCGAGTTAATGCAGTTTCATTTACGGTTCTGACTTTGGTTTCGGTTCTATTTTGGTTTCAAATTATATTCTCCTGCTGGCAAAGTTATTCAAAAGCCTTGTTTACATAATATTTATATAAATACTCGTAGATATATTTGTAACTATGTAAACTTTTAAGCGTTATATAAAATAAATAATTATGTATGTATTATACTATTTTGATGCGGGCACTGATCGCCGTTGGAGCACCTTTTTTGGTAAACAAATTAAGCTGTTTGCTTAACTCAAGTGTTTATATGTATATGATAAGGTGTTTGTATGTAAAGCTGTATGTGTTTTTATTTTGTGTGCATTCTGCATTGTAATTTAATTCATATATCCGGCATTGCACTGCGGTCATTGAAATATTTTTATAACAACTTAGGTAGCATTACCCTCCATCAATAACCATATTCTGCCAAACATAGCTCAGATATTATTTCCGGGAATAATTTAATAAATATTGACAGTAGAGGACAGAAAAAGAACAACTTTAGAAGTAAATTTTTTAGACTTTAGTTTTGTTATTTTTTTCAGAGCTGATTTTTTGCCTAATCTGGATACGGTTCACCCGAGGTCACTGTCCGCCATATGATATAATAGCTTTAGAGTTTGATATGTCTCTGACTAATAACTGATTTTCAAGTTTTTGATTCTTAAAATATGATATTTGTCTCCGACCATCGACATTTAGGTCATCAACACCAATTGCTCATCTTCGAAAATTGACTTCATGACTTAAATTGAGGTTTTAATACTAAAATTTATTGAGCAATGGGGTCTGGTATCACTCTTCGATTCGAGTTTCACCATCTTTATCTTTATAAGACAAAAGTAGAACAAAACCATCGTGGAAAAAAGTTAAACGAGTAAAGATATGATCATATCAGCAGCGGATCCAGGACTTCGGAAAGACGTGTAGTTTTGAAAAAATGTTAATGAAAATAGTGACAAATACTATTATATTATTATAAAAAAAAAGGGAAATTACCAATTTTTCAGATGATGCTCTGTATGAATTTAAAGTAATGCGGGAGGTCGCAAAATTAAGCTTTCGCATAATTTATGAAAAAATCTTTACTATATATCCAAACTCAATGCAAACTCAAGACATTCAAACCTGAAAACCTCCCCTTGAATCAGCCACTGATTCATACAGCGTATAAATAACTAAAGTCAATTCCAAAATATCGATATTTTTAGCAAAAATCCACTTTCTTTAATGACATATTTGCGAATTATTCAAATCCAGTAATGTACGGTATATTTCAGCTATTCATTAATTAATTCTTAAGACAAAAATATATGCATCGGAAAATTTATTTAAAATTATCGTCTAACTTTTCTCGATAAAAGATTGTATGAACTAAATAAAGCGAAATTCCCTTAAAGTATAATATATCTACATAATGCAAGTATTCTATCGATTTGCTTTGGGGCTCTTAATATTTATTTTGCTCACCATTTCCTATATTCGGTGAAACAATATTATTATGAAAGCTTTCTTTTTTTTGACAACTTTTCTGTAATTTACTTTATGCTGTTTATTGAGCTTTCACCTGAGCAAGCTTTACGGAAAGCTTTTCACGATAAACGGTATGTTTGCTTGTTTTTAAACAAAACTTAAAACTAGCTTTAGGAGCTATGAATTTAAAAAAAAAGTCCCAGCAATCCTCTTTTAAAGCTAAGTAGAGATCATATTATTTATCAGACACATTGTGATCTCTACAACCCACATTTTTAAAAAATTTTCTAGTAAAATCACGCTTTATTGCACGAGTTCGAGTTAAGAAGATCACAAATATTTATATTGCACAGTTTTAACCAATAAAGAGTTACTGCTAATTAACAGTTACTTTCCATAAATATCAATGACGAAATTATAGCCACGCCACCATTGACTAGTGAAATGTAATTTCACGAAATTGAAGCCTGGACCACCGCTCGTAAGCGTTGCAAAGCCACCATTGCCATTTATATACTGATCCTTCACTTCGATGCTTGTAATAATCGCTGGATAAGGTACATTCTAAAGCCGAAAGGAGTAAAATATTAATATTCATAACACAATGTTTACTTTTTTAAGTATATCTAGCACAACACGCACCCGCTGATCGAACATATAGTCACCGGACTTCTTGCGCATAAATCCAGATTTAGAGAAGACTACTTCGCGAACCAAATGACGATCGCCTGGCAGTCGTGTGCCCAGGATAAGATTGTGACTCGCCGTTTGATTGGCTGCTACCACAAGTGCAAATAGTGCGATGAACACGAAGGTGAATGCAAATTTCATTTTGTTAGTTAGTTACTAGCGCTTAAGATTAAGATGTAAGAAATACTGCTCTCGAAACAATTTAAGCTGATGCTACGGTATTTAATTTCAAACTGATCGCAAAAGTTTAAATTCGCTTAACTTCACTAGCATTGAACCAAATACAAACAAGCAAACATACAGACTTGCGTACGATCTTCTGTTTATCGAGATAAGCTACTTCAACTTCCAGATAGTTCTTATCTTGTATGCAAAGCACTTGTTTAAATAAATGTCATACATGAATGTAGTTAAGCATATGACATGTATACTTCAGTATATATTTTTATATATGAGCAACGGAGGCATTTTGTGCATTAACTACTTAATTTTGCTCACTTATTTTCATATGATTACTGTTGTGGCTCAACCGCAAATAGTCATACCGCTGCTGTTTAAATACTTTTGTTTTATAACAGGAAGTGCATTTGCGCAAATACACACATTTATTCTTTATTACCGAAAGTGACTCATTTTATTTGGGTTATATTTCGCAATGATATCACTTTTATATGCAGAAATTTCTAAAAAAGTATAAAGAATTCTAATTGCTTATTATTATATGTGAAGATATCTCGCCAATGAAGCTGTCCATATAATCCCTGTATTCCGATCGTTCCGTTTTTATGGCAGCTATATGCTATTGTGGTCTGATATCGGCGGTTCCGATAAGATGAATACCTTCTTCTGGAGAAAGAGCATATGAAAGAATTCTGTTCGATATCTCAAAAACGGAGGGAGCAGTTCGCATATATACAGACAGACATGCGGATAGACAAACGGACGTGGCTAAATCAACTTAGCTCGTCATATACATATGTATATACTTCATATGGTCACCGGCGTATCCTTCTGCTTCTTACAAACTGCGGAGCAAACCCTGTTCAGGGTATTAAAACATGTATAATAATGTGAATGCCAAAATTAAATTTTCCAAGACTGCTTTACATTTATAATTTGAACTAAATTTGTTCTGTGGTCACGCAATTTGCGGTAGAATAAAAATTTTATAGCACTCTATTCTAAGCGAACGAAAGTGACCGCCCATATTATGAGAAAACCAATTCAATATAGGCTGTAATCTGTCCTAACAGATCGCAAAAAAATATGGTTTTTAGTCTTGCAAGAAATGTAAAATTTTGAGAACTGGTAACTCTGTGACGCACTCTCATTGTGCAAGAAAGAGATTTAATTTTTGCTGGGACTAAGAATATTCTCAGGATGTGTTGAGAAATGAACTTACCTACTGAGCGTGTAAATCTACAAAACATTTAATTTTTATTTATTATATACTGCTAAGGACAGAATGGAAGCTTGTATTTTTGTCAGAAGTTTTAAGAAGACGATGAGCTTCCACTATAAGAAACTTTGAGAAAAACCTTTGTTGAAAACAAGCTTTTGTTACATATAATATAAAAATCACTAAATGGGCTAGCTATGCAGTGAAAGCTTTGTAGTCGAAAGGTCAATTTGTAATCACAGCTTCCCAGAATAATTCAAAAATATTAGTTCAGTTATTAATACAACCCTAACCTTGCGCCTCCGCTATCAATTGGAAGACAATACTGTGCCTTAAAGTTATCGATTGTTGTGTCGCAGATTTCAGGTGAATTAGTTTGGGGATAAATCCATTATTTTTAATATTCAGTAGTTTTTAACTAAAAAAAAACTTATTTAATTTCAATTAATGTATAGATATTAATTAATGCACATTTAATACAGCCATAAGCACAGAAAATCTCTAAATATATTAAAAACTACTTACCACATTTTTTATGGACACATATCTGAAAAATAAAACCAAGTACAATTAGAATTTCAAGAATATTTTAAAGCTTTTCAAAACTCCAATTTTATGCCAATCGAATAAGAAAATATAATATTTTAGAAACGAATGCTGTTATTTTTATATTTTAATTTCGTATGTGGCCATACCATAAAAGAAACAAAAGGAAATTCATAAGCAATAAACATAAAATACTGAGCAATACTCAATACATCCCTGCAAGCGCTATTTTCTAATATACCAAACATAAAACTTTAAACGAAGTTTACTTTCCCAATACCGACAATATTTCAAATTACCAAAAAAAATTGTATTTTCATTGTGGCATGTAGCATAAACAAAATCATGAGAAAATATGAAGCTTATATGCCTTTCCGACAAACATACAAACAATTTTAAAAGCACAAGTGTGTGTTAACGGTACTTGTGTCGCCCGCACAACTTTTTTAAAACATCGAACGAAGTTTGGGGAACAAGCATTCAATATTAGAAGTAAGAAAAAACAGCATAGCCGCAGGATAATACATATGCTTTACACAACGCTCAAGCACACATACACACATGCATAGATTTACACGCAAAAGCTTTGTAAAATGCGATTTTTGTACAAGCTGGCGCACTTTGCTTTGCATATTCATACGCAATGTGTTCAATATGTTACAGTTAAGTAAATATTACTTGCGAAGATAAAAATATGAAACATGCTCATATACACACGCATACAAATATATTAATACACACGCATTCGTCTTTATGTGCCACGTCCACTCGAATGTGTAACCAACTGTGCATATCCTGGAGCACTTCCTGTTAGTTGTTTGTGTGTATGTATATATGTACATGTGTAGCGCTTATTGTTACGCCGTTTCTTACAAGAATACTTTTTCTTCACACATTTTTTGCTTGCTCTAATATTGCTTTTGTATTTGTGTTGGTGACGTGCACTTATTTCCAATAGCTACTTGTATGACTTGAATGAAAAAGTCGCTGGGTAAATAGTCTATCCATATTTATGTGTATATGTCTTATGTACATATATTAAGCATTAGATTTTTGGAATTTTTGTATATTAAAACATCGTATAATAAAATGTTATTACACTTCTATGAGACAATCATACGTAGGTTGGGGGCAAATCCGTTTGGCTTTAGAAGCGGTAAATTTCGCATTTCATCTGCGTTAAAGCTCGATTGTGCCATGTCTGTCTGTTGATTCAGCTCTTGAGATATCGATATGAAAATTTGTACACGTCGCTTGATTCTCCAAAGCCTACTCATTTGTCGGAACCGCCGATATCGGACCACCAGGGCACCAAGTTCTTAAATAAAAAACTTGTATATGACAAAATATCTCCACGAAATTCGGCACGGATTCTTGCCAAAAAAAACGCAATAAACCCAGAAAAAATTATTCTGATCGGATTACTATAGCATATAGCTGTCATACAAACTGACCGATCAAAGTCAAGTTTCTGTATGGAACAATTTTTTATTTGACAAATTATCTTTTTTCGAAATTTGGCATAGATTATTGTCCAAGGCATCGTTACAATCTCCAAACTTATTAATCAGATCGAACCACTATGGCATATAGCTGCGATTCTGACTAACTGATCGATCAATAGTAGGATCAATTAATTTTTATAATCTATAATGATATAAGAAATGCGCCTGTGAAGGGTATGATAGATTCTGTGCAGTCAAAGCCAACATTTTTTATTGTAAACTATCTTTTCATTCAAATAAATAGATATGTTTAATAAAAAACATGATATTAGCTCAAGCTGTTGAAGATTTTTCATTAAAAAAATATACTTTGGTATTTTTAACTTAAAAGCACACGGCTTACTTTTAAGACTACAGTTTTTTATTATGCAAATACCAAATAAAACAACTCAAACCATTTCCTTCTCAGTTATATTTACTCAATCTGCTTGTGCCGCTATTTTAAAAGCATCAACTATATCGCTGCTGGCTTGTTTATTTATTTTGCAGCCGCATGTGCCGCAGCAGTTGCCTTAAGCTGTAATTGTTTGCTCTAAATGCCTTTCAAACAGCTCTTAATCCACTTAGACACACCTCTGCGCTGGACTGCTGCCATGGCTTGTGCAAGAAGAAATTAACGGGCAAATTCACTGTCAGTGCCAAGAGCGAACGAGTTGTGGGGTAAGTGAGTTTGAAAGTGCTGTTGGGCAGATATCCAAGCAAAGTGTTGCGTTGTGTGAGGAATAATTTTGCGCAAAGAATTGTTAAAATATTTAGAAGCTTTACATTGTAAATTTTTTTTACACTTTAAGAGGATTAACTCTTTTGGAGCTCGTTTGTTCTTGCAGAAATTAGAAAGCGGCGGGTCAAATTGTTTCTTCAATAAATAAGGAGAATATAAATTTTTGGAAAAAACGTCACCTGAGAGTCCGGTGTGATTTAATTTTTAAAAGAATTACTGGTAGATAATTTTTAAAAATTCGATTGGAAGCAAGTTTTACTGTCACGATTTACGTATTTATAGTTCCTCGCGTAACTTTCTATCGTCCTGGTACCAAATAGTTGAGTCGTCGCTGCAACAAACCATATAGCGCGTGAAACGTCATCAGTCTTAGTCATGTGATTCAACTTCGTAACACAACTGTAATGTTGATTTACGCGTACTGGTGCCTCAGTTTTTGAGATATCGATTTGAAAATTTTCACAAGATTCTTTTTCTTCAAGACGCGGCTTATTTGTCAAAATCACTGGCACTCGTATAGCTGCCCTACAAAGTAGCCGGAAAACTTTTTATTGGACAAGATATCTTCACGAAAATTAGGATAAATTACTTTCCAAATCAGCGCTACAATCTCCGAATATTTTGTTCAGATCGAACTAATGTAGCATATACCTGTCATACAAACTGATTGGTTAAAATCAAGCTTTTGTATGCAAATTTTTTTATTTGTGAACTGTATGCATTTGCACAAACTCGCTTATGAAAAAAACTCAGATCTCCAAAATTTTATACTCGACTCGAGCGTAAAAAAGCACTTAAAAAACATGCAACATTAAATATTTTCAGGGCACTGTTTGAGCACAGTTTTATTCTGATAACTTTATTGTTGTTTGATTTGATATGTAAAGTAAAAGAATGAGACAGAATTTAAAAGTTTGTTACATGGGAAGTGGGCGTGGTTATTATCCGATTTTACTCATTTTCACAGAATTTGAAAAGGGGATAAAGTGAATTATTTTCAACAAGCTTTTTTGAAATATCTTAAGCAGTTTAAGAGATATGTACATTCAACTATTTAGAGGGTGGAGCTATGCGCACTTTTAAA